GTACGGGTTTAGAGCTGGAATTAAGTAGAGGCCAAAGGATAAATGTGAAGGTTGAAAAGAGCTGAGTTGGATCCTTGAGAAAGGGTGAGAAGGAATAAAGCCAAGCTTTATTGGTTAGGAAGCATTAATCACTGCATCAAGGGCCACAGTGGGTACCCTGTGTACCTGGGACACATGTAGGACCCAATTAGAAATGGTACAGAGGTCGGAGAGAGGATGACTGTCTGCATTTATTGTTCCAGGGGCCTGTGGCAAAAGAACTGAGTGGATTGCCATCTGGACCCTCTGCTGGATCAGGTCCTCCTCCCCCCCCACCAGGCCCACCTCCCCCACCAATGCCTACCAGTTCAGGGTCAGATGACTCTGCTTCACGCTCAGCACTGTTTGCGCAGATTAATCAGGGGGAGAGCATCACACATGGTAAGTGAATACTTTGGCAAGAAGAATTGGTACAATAAGTTGCTTGGGCCAGACCTTACCAACTAGAGATGGGACAGTCTATAAAGCAGAACTCTGGTTTGTGTATCGGAGAATTAATTTGGGTGTCATATTATTTTAAGTTGCCCAAAGGGACAACAGAGTTGGCTTAAATGGAAATTGAAATTGGGTGATTGTAGTTGGAGAAGTGATTTAATATTAAGTGGCATATATAGTACAGTACCCTGTTGTGCCAGGGCATGGTGCCAGCAATTTTCCCCAGAGGTTTTCCATGTCACTAACATTGTCTACTTGGGATGTCATTGTGTTGGAGGTTAACCTCCTCAGAGGTTATGTAATAGTCATGGAAAATTTGCATAAGAAATACCTAAAGTTGATATAGAGAAAGTATAGACACCCTTATATACAGCAGGTGGAAGTCTAAATTATGCAGCTCTCTTTTGAGGATCTACCTATAAAATATCTAAAATAAAGAACAAGTTGTTTTATAGTATTATTTATAGTAGCTAAAAGTGGTGTATCAACCTAAATACCCAACAGTAAGGGAAATGTTTAACTGTAGTATGTCTTCTTGATGAAATATTCTGCAGCTATTAAATTTTTGTGCAGTGAACCAAGCAGTGTAAGAAAAATCTAGTATTTAAACTACTACCACCAGGAGAGGTGGAGCTAAAAAGGCCACTCAGTATTGATTATGTAGATTGGACCATGTTCAGGAGCGAGGAGTGGGTCAGCTTGCTGAGGGTGATTATGAAATCTTTACCCTAAAATTAAAAAAAAAGATTTTTGGACACTATAAATTAATGTGAATTTTTTTTTATTAAAGTGTTAACTGATTAAATCAAATTTAACAGTGTGTATGGTTATAACCCAAATAAACAACCAACAATAGAAAAAATTATTGGAAGGAGAGTTTCAAATGCTAACACTGATTTGGAGGTGCAGTAGGTTAGCTGTGGGAGAGGGTTTTTTTGTTTTGTTTTTACAAATTTTCTTTACTGTTACACATTACTTTTTCTTCCTCTGTTGCTTTAAAAACTACATACATATTTTTGAGTATATATTTGGTATATGTCTTTCTAGGTCTGTTTCTATGCATTTACATACTTACCCCCCCCATACATAAATGTATGCCATGTTTTATGGTTTTGAATGGAACTATATAAGTTAACTTTAGGGTAGAAGAGAAGCTATAAAAGTGCTTCTCTAAAATTGCTTTGAGAGAGTCCCAAAGGCTCTAGTTTTTGGCTTTGATTTTTGTTAAGGATTAATCTTAACGTCTGATAGCGGAAGTTGGTTATTGCCTCAGCCCAAAACCCTGATGTGAAGGACAGAAACAAGGCAACTTGTTGTTCTTACAGCCCTAAAACATGTATCTGATGACATGAAGACTCACAAGAACCCTGCCCTGAAGACCCAGAGTGGTCCAGTACGAAGTGGCCCCAAACCATTCTCTGCACCTAAACCAGGAGTCAACCCATCCCCTAAACCAGCCACAAAGAAGGAGCCGGCTCTACTTGAACTGGAGGGCAAGAAGTGGAGAGTGGTGAGTTAATAGTGCCGGGACAGGGGGAACTAGGAGTGGATGGGGTTTCAGTGGAGCCACAGCCAGATGAATGCAGGGTTCTGACTTAGATTGCAAGAAGGAAAGTTTGTGATAGTCTGTTTTTGGGGTCGTGTGTACTTAGTGATGAGATTGCTGAAAGGGAGGGGATATTTCTTTAACAGGAAAATCAGGAGAATGTTTCCAACCTGGTGATTGATGATACAGAGCTGAAACAGGTGGCTTACATATACAAGTGTGTCAACACAACATTGCAAATCAAGGGCAAAATTAACTCCATTACAGTAGGTGAGTTCTTGCTGTCCTAGACAGGCTCTGTTTTAGAGCCTAAGAGGATGAAACCATACCTACCCTGTTCCTAAGATTCTTAAATATATTACTTTCCTTTAAAGTTATACTGTTGACCTGCTCCCTTTCTTTTCCTAGATAACTGTAAGAAACTCGGCCTGGTGTTCGATGACGTGGTGGGCATTGTGGAGATAATCAATAGTAGAGATGTCAAAGTTCAGGTAACTTGATGTCTTGGCTCCTTCCGTTGGTCCCTGAGGAATTAATTGAAAGAGGCACAGCCGACCCACAGATGTTGCTATGGTGGGAATCTGATTCTACAAAGTCTGTAAGCTGAGCTGCTTTGGATGTGGCAGGAGAAGAGTTGGCTCTTAGAGTGAGCTCTTTCCAACACCCATCCCAGCCTGCCCTGAGTATCCAATATCTGTTGTGCACCTGCAAGGTTTTTCATGTAGTTGTTGAATCATGTGAAACAGTGGAAGCTTTTCCTGTAAATTTCTGTTTTCTCCCCAGCTGCTGGGACTTAGTGTTCTTCCTGTTCTCTGCAGGTAATCGGTAAAGTGCCAACCATTTCCATCAACAAAACAGATGGCTGCCATGTTTACCTGAGCAAGAATTCCCTGGATTGTGAGATAGTCAGTGCCAAATCTTCTGAGATGAATGTCCTCATTCCTACAGAAGGCGGTGACTTTGTAAGTTTCTTGATTTTTTTTTTTTTTTTTTTTTTTTTAATTAAT